AGCAGAGACAGTCAATTAAACAAGTTCCAGGTCGGTTAAATAATACAAAAAGAAACATAAACAACAGTGTAAGTAACAATGAGACCACTGTACACAGAGACCAAGCTCGCAGCAGACGCGCCAAAACAATGGCTCTTATTAATAATTAGGGAGGTTACAGTTAAGTTATCTATGGTATAACAAGTTGGCGAAAATGTTTTAAAGAATTTTGTTTTGAATGCTATAAAGAAACTTACTGCTGCTTGATAATCACGAAAATTTAATAGCAAGAAAAATAAAATTTTGAAAATTAATAAATAGCAACATAAATATGCGGTAGGGAAATTTAGGCAAACATTTTTTAAATATTAGACAAATAATCTATATCATATGATCATCCAATCTTCCTCAAATCCCATTAAAAACTTAAGAAAACATAATTACATTTACTAGAAATAAATAATTTTTAATGCTTAACTTGGTTGATTTATGAGTTCCAGCATAGTTTCGGGTTCAGAATTTATTTGTTTTTGGAGAGAGCTTACTATTTTTAATTACATAAATGCTTCTAGGGATAGCTTTTTTTTTTTCTTTTTTTTTTAGAAAATTTTAAAAGTTTCCTTGAAATTTTATAGGAAAAAAGTTCTTCAAATAAAAGTTCTAAGAAACTTTTTTGTAATAAAGTTCCAGATTTATGGTAAAAGTTTAACTTGTATTTATTCAAATTCTTAAAAAAAGTTCCGCTAAGTGAAAAATAAACAGTTATCGGGCTTAGATCAGTTGTTTGAGTAGCTAACTTTCAAACAAGGAAAAAGAGAAAACATGGAGTAGACCACAGCAGATGTTATTGTAAATAAGCTACAATTTTCATAGTTATACTTCTATTGATTTTAATTATATATATATATATATATATATATATATATATATATATATATATATATATATATATATATATATATATATATATAATGTATATATGCACACACACACACACACACACACACACACACACACACACACACACACACACACACACACACACATAATATACCTTTGGTGTATAAAATTCACTTGTTTTGCAAGTGCGCCCTCCCCTCAGAACATTCCTGGTACCTAGTGGTTAATTTTTTCTGTACTGAAATGAGAGAGGGGCACTGCTGGGAACCATAATACCTTATCCTGGTATTATGGTTATACTAGACAGGATAAAAAATCACATAATTTACTCTAATAAACCTGAACTTAATTAATTTAAACTTAAAGCTAATTAAACGAGGATGTTTTTCTAAAAGTGGGGTATCTGTAGTTTAGTTCGATAATCATAAAAAAAAATAAATGGCGTATAATTTATGATTTTTTTAAAACCAGAACTTAGTTTAGTTTAGCCGTTCAATGGTCCTCTTTAAATAGTTTTAACAATGACAAAAAACTGTTCAATCAAACATCGCAAGTTTTGAAAAATGGTGTCAAAACTGCAGGATTAAAATAAATTCCAATATCAAATTACCTTAACTCTTCTTCGTAAACCTATGACTTCCTGTCCTACGGTATCCTTTAACAATACCCCACTTATCCCTGTTGAACAAATCCGATACATAGAACTTGGAACCTCCATACCAGACTGAAACGACCATAAAACGCACGTTTTCGACTACTGAAGCACTTACTAGACAAACGCTCTAAACTTCCAACTATTTACAAATGACTCATATATATTACTAGAAACCGGGTTTCCATGTTATTGCACTTTTTATTCGCTTGCGAGTAAAAACTCCGGACCCGAATATCTTACCGTTTCAGGACCTGTAGAATAACATATTTAAATTTCATATCGCACGAAATTGCAGGTTTTGCCATTTTTGGCTTAAATTGCATGATTTTGATTGTTGTTGCATTAAATTGTACATTTTTGCACTTTTGTGCTAAATTAGACGATTTATAAATACAAATATATAAGTGAGTGTGTTAATATTTATTTTACTATATTGTTCAAATTAAATTCATTATTCAAAATAGAAAAATATGAGCAGGAAAATAATTCTGTGTGAAGCAAAAAAATTATTCATTAGAAAAGGAAGAAGTAAACACAAGTGAGATCTATTCTTGGAATAGAACTTGCTTAAAGTATTAGATAATAAAAAGCTGCTTTCCTAGAATTAGCTGCTTTGTTAGTAAGACATTTATAGTTATTGTTTTGGCTTGAATCCTCACTCACCGTTCAACCCTTCAGTATCTCTTCTGGCTTTAAATTGATTTTTAGAAATTTCACTATCATAAAAAAAAAATTAATAATGCTAAAAGTAAAATCTAGTCTCCCGTCAAAAATTAAAATCTGGATATCAAAAATATCCCGATTTGAAATGTGAGGACAAAGAATTTGATGAGAAAGTTCTATACACCTTTTGAAAAATCGATTAGGTGATAAGAAATCACTGGTAGACGCTCATTGGGAACCTGTAAGAAAAAATATTCTTATAAAAGGATTGAATTATTTTTTTTTTTGTTTTTTAGAAAGAACGTACTCGCCAAAAATATTTTTTTTTAGTGATATACACTATAAAATTTACATCCATTTCTTTTTTTTTCTCTTGTTTAAATCAAGATCTGATAAGATTTCGATGTATTAATGTTATCAATTAAACAATATTGATGATTTTACACGTTTTAGGTGTTAATTACCCAATTTTGTATTTTTACTGCACGATTTTGCACATTTTGATTTTTTTTCTTCACGTTTTCCGGATTTTTTCTGTACAAAAATCTGTTCTCAATATATTACTATAATAAGGCCTATTTGGACTTACGGGATCGAGCTCTACTTAACCATCAAATTCCTCTCGTATCCAATCCCTACGATCCAAAATCCTTTGTAAAATCCTTAATGCTCCCTACTTTGTCACAAATAAAATCATCCATAATGATCTTAATGTACCATATGTTTCCGATTTAGCTCAAGCGAGATACCCGTCCTTCCATAATAAACTTCTGAACCATCCGAACCCTCTTGTTTCCAACCTTGCTTCCTCTTCTATTCCTGATAACCCTCCGAGACGTCTGAAAAGAAGATGGCCTCGGGCGGGACCTTCTAATATAGAAATATAATTGGAGTGCTACCAATGGGTAGTTTCTCTTCATGTTGTACATGTCATGTTACTTGTTGTATTTATCATTTAATACAGTTGTAAATTTCAATAATAATAATAAAAAAATCTGGTGCGTGCAACACACAACTTTCACTTACCGATCTACATTGAATAGAAATTATTTTCTAGCAATGCTGGGCTATTATAAAATTTTTTGAAGTGCATTTCAAACGGAGCTAAAGCTTAAAGCTTACAGATAGCAAGTCATTAAGACCTTTATAATTACAAAATGTCTATTTAATATATAGACAGGCAATAAAAATCTAGTCACTCCATCTGCTTTTATAAACCACACAACTTTCTTTGCTTTTATAAACCACAGAATGACTAACTCCAATTTCAACATTTTTGAGTGATGTCATTTTAACGATATTCTTAGTTGAAAAAGTTATCTATGCAGACAATGAGTATGTTGATTCCAGAGGTGGTGATTGCAGTGTTGAAATATAGAACTGAGAATAAACGTATAAATTAAGGTACTTATTTCTTATGAAAGATATTCTTAGGGAATACACTTTATTAAATATCTGTAGAAAAAAAGTTTTTTTTAGTCTCAACAATTAAAAAAATATATTTTACATTAATCCAAATTTTCGCCTCTTCAGGGAAAAAAACTTGAGACCATATATTTCCTCCTAATTGTCCGACTTTAACGATTTTTTTTTTATTTGTTTTTTTAGAGGATTCCATAAACTTTTTTAAAAACCCAATAAATACAATATCCCCAAAAAAAGCGTATACTTTTTGAGTTATTCGGAATTTAATTTTAACATCCCTTTTTTCCAACTTCTTTTCGTTGAAGTATGTTATATAGATAAATTTAAAGGGTATCGAGAAAATGACTTTAGCGAAGTTTCATTGAAATCGGTACATTCGTTTAGGAGCTACAGTCTATAGCAACGCAGGTTTTTCTGCATTTATTTTTTTTCTCCTTTATTAACTTATCAAATTCTTTCAAAATTTATATGTAGCATTTTTTCGTAACTCTGAATAATGCGAAATGGTTAACTTTTTAAAATAAACCATATTAAAGGTACTTTAGAGGAAGAAATATATGAACATTGGGCATTTAAGCCGTGTAAAGTGACATCAACGGGGATAAGACCTAAATGATATTAAAGACCACTTAATTATACAATGATACACCGAGTTTGATCAAAATCGTTAGAGCCGTTTTTGAGAAAATTGTAAAAATGTGTTTCAGCGTTCATATAAAGTGGCACTTCCGGTTAGCCGATTTTAACGAAAAAGTTGCTGTCACATCCGGCCCATATACAAACCTTAAATACTTAATATCAGTTTCGTACTACCTTTCGTTAATGATCGCTTTGTTATCATATTTTCAAAAATATCCATACGAAAAAAAAAACTAATATAGAAACTATATTATTTATATATATATATATATAAATTTATTATTATATTGTTCGTTTTACAATAATTAAGTTGATTATATTATTTATCACTTATAGGTGACTCACGAGACATTTTTGGTGAGATCCGTAGCACACTCCCTCAGCTAGGATGGAAAGTCTGCTCGTTTTATCGTTTTAAGCTGAAAAAATAAGATAATAACAATAATCAATTGTCATATCATTATTTTGTCATGGAGAAAGTGTCATATTTGTTACATATTTCTGTACGTATGGAACTTCATCCGCGCGTATTGTACCTCTAATGCAACTGTAATGTGACGAATATGCAAAAATGTATTTTTTCCTAAACGGTTAATTACACAGTCGTAACGAAGATATGTGGGGATAATTCATTCATTTCACACAAACATATCTAAGACCCTCGCCAATCACCTTTGAACATTATTAGTGTATTGAATGGCTTATCGAGGTATTCTAATGGAATTGAACAGAAATTCCTCTAGTTTGTGATTTCGTAAAAAGTATTTCTAAATATAGTTTGTGCCTGGATACCGTTGGTCCGGGTGACCCAAAGCTTGAAAGTAGGAAGTGGAGAACCGGCCGTGGGCAGTTTATTAAGAGGGCATCCGACCGTCATCGAGGGCAGCACATGGTCAAGGCCACTCCACCTGCTCCACTTCCCCTGTAATCCCAAAGGTACCAGATGATGGTCACCTCTGGCATTAGTCAACACAATCAAAGCAACTTCTGCAAAGAAAAATGATGAGACAATAAAAGCAATTGAATTTCTTAATAGTTATCAAATAATAGTTAAACAACTATTAGGGTTTCAAATCACCAAAAAAGTAGAATACTTATTTATTTCATTTATAATTTCTAACCACTAAATAATTTAAAAAATCATGTTCATAATTAGCAGTTAAGTGACTTTTTTTGTTTTATCATTAAAAAAAAAACTTGCTCTGGAGCTTGTCAAACTATCTTACAATTAAAAATTAAAGCGATCCTATAATCAGAGTTATTCATCTCAAAAAAGCTTTTGAATATTTACAGATTAATCACTTTGCTAAAAGGCACAGATGCAATTTATTCCCACGAAAGAGCTTCTAAAGACCTTTTTTCCCAGCACAGTATAAAGGCGGAAAATAGACCTATTTTTTAAATGTATTAGAAAAATAATTTTCTTTTCGATTTTTAACGTTGTACGAGCCTTCCAAATTCTTCTTCTTATTATATGGCACTACGTCCCGCGTGGAGACGAGGTCTCTTGCAACTTTGACCCCCCAGTCATCCATATTCCGCGCTGCTGTCTTCCATTTTTGGACCCCAAGCATGGATCGTGCACCTGCAGATAAGCCATCAATCTACCTCAACCTTCGTCTTCCTCTTCTTCGTTTGCCAAATATTTGTTCTATGAGGATGTTTTTTGGAACCTGATCTTCAGACATTCTTATAACGTGTCCAGCCCATCTGAGACGACTTACTTTAATAAGGGTCACCACATCAGCATCCCCATATATTAATGATACATTAATTCAGCATTAGTCCGCTGTCTCCAGATTCCGTTTATATGTCTCGCACCCATGATTCTTCTCAGGATCCGTCTCTCAAATCTGGTCCACCATTCTGCAGCGTAAGTGAGTACTGGCCTTACCAATGTCTTATACAGGCGGATCTTGGTGGCTCAGAATACTACTTTACTCTTGAAATGCTTAGCAAATCCATGGTAGCATCTGTTTGCGGGGACAATCCGACGCTGAATTTCCAGTGCAATGTCATTCTGGGAATTAACTTGTGATCCTAGTTGAATAAATGCTTCCACTCGCCGAAGGAATATGACCCAACGTGTATATATGGTTCTCCAAGGGGGGCTGTGGACATATATTTTGTTTTTTCACATTAATAACGAGACCCATTCTTTCAGCTTCCCTCGGAGCTCCAAAAATACATCTTGAATCAGGGTTTCATAGTTATGCCACGATAATTAGTGCATTCTAGAATATTTCCATTTTTATGAACTGGGCATACTACAGTTTTGCTCCATTCATTGGGAATTTTTTCCTGTTACCAGACATCCATCAATAGATTGTGCATATATTTGAGGACTTTCTTTCCACCATACTTGAATACCTCCCCAGGCAATCCATTTCTTCCAGCTGATTTGCTAGTTCTAAGCATCTCGATAGCATTTCGGACTTCATCCTTGTCTAGAAGCTCAATGTCATCCGGAGGTAATTCGGTATTCATGTTTTTTTCCATATCATTTCCGTCCAGCAAAGTGCAAAAATATTCCTTCCATTCCTGGAACGTCTGATATTAAATTACCACCTAAGCCCCACAAGCGCTTGTCCGAGGATGGGAAGGTTTTCTTCCGGTATTTATGAGCTAGTAGAATTACCTTTTGTCGCCTAATTTCTTTTATTTTTTTCAGCTGTTTCCTATGCCACAATCTTTTCTTTGTCTTATGAAGGTTCTTTTCAGACCTCTTAATCATATATTGCTCCACTTAGTTGCGGGTACGCCTCTGAAGCATGATTTGTTATGCTTCTTTTTTTTAATCTGTTGTCGTTTGACATTCATTGTCAAACCAAGACTTATTTCTTCTCCTTTCATCGAGTCCAAGTATTTCATCTTCTACCACAGCCATTGTTTCTTTACATGTCATCCAAGCCTGGTTAATGTCTCCCGTCGGATCAGTGTGTCGCATTTTTTCATCCATGTGATTAGAAAGCTGTTCTCTGATTTCAGAATCTGTTAGTTTTAGGACTGCATACTTAACTTGTGGCTTATTTCCTTGGACAAGGGCAGTAAAAATCCTTTCCCTAATTTTTTAAATCAAAAGATGATGGTCTGATTCTGTATTAGCCTCTTGTGGATCCTAACATTCATTAAACTAGAAATGAATCTGGCATTCATTAGAATGTGGTCTATTTGATTAATAGTAAAATCAACCAGATCTCTTGATGCAGCGAAGTAAATCATTCTCGACCGATTTTCAATCTCGTGGATTTTATTCCATCGTGGATGTTATGCTTACCAATAGTTGGCTGGAAGGAGGAATCTTTTCCGACTTGAGCATTAAAATCACCTATAACAATTTTAATATCAGCTTCTGGAAGTTGGTTGAAACAATGATCTAGAGCATTATAGAATTGCTCTTTATCCTCTTCTTCAGAAACTTCTGTAGGGACACGTACGCTAATAATGCTGTAGTTCCGTAATTTTCCTTTTAGTCGTATGCAGGAAATCCTAGGACTGACGAGATTGAAATCTAACACTGAGTTGTTGGGACAGAAGTTGGGATTTATTCTACTTCATTATAAAACCTGTACCAAAGTTGTGGTTCCATTCATCGCAGCTGTACTAAACCGTGTAGTTGTTTTATAAAACATGCCGTGCCCTGTCCATTTGATCTCCTGCATAGCAGCGATGTACATTTTATAGTTGTCTTTTTTTTATTGAAGAACAATAATATAATCTGCAACAATCTAGGCATTGAGCATTATGGCTCTATCTCTACATTCATACATTTTAGAAAAAATAAATAAAACAAAAAGAAAACGTGTAAGTAAAAATATATACACTAAAATAAAAGAAGAAAAACTAGTATAAAGGAAAAAAAAAATTCAAAGAATAGTAAAGAAAGAAAAAAAATACTTGACACACATTCATTGCTATGTATAATATTTACATACAACCTAGGGAACTCTGAATCATGCCTTACCCCTCTTACGTGAAAGGCAAGGCAGGGCTCAAGGAGATCCCAGACAGTTGAGACAGAGTAAGAGCGCTAAGTCCACATACGCTCAGGACTTGAGTGGAGAGGCTGGCCACTGCCAGAACGCTATTAGCATATTTATAAAAGAATTCGGGGCCATTGCCGTTTCAACCTTCGTGGAGAATTATATGGATGGTTGGAGCTGGAAAGGGATTGTGCTAAGAGATTAGGATGATGGTTAAGCTTTTGATGAAAGTTTGAGAATTTGGATGGAATTACGTCGAGGAAAGACGGGATGTTGATATTATGATGTAAGGTTTTGTTTGTGACGTAGTATGGAGCATTAACTATTCTTCGAACGACTTTGGATTGAAAGGATTGGATATGTTTGATGTTCGAAGATTTAGTTATCCCCCACAGCTCAAGTCCATACGTCCAGATGGGTTTTAGTATGGTCTTATAGACTAGTAGTTTGTTTTCAAAAAAAATTGAGAGATGTGAGTTTGTGGTCAGTAGTCTATATAATTGTCCAAATCGCCGGTTTAGCTCTTGTCTTTTGAGTCTGGTATGAGGGTTCCATGTCAGTCTCTTGTCCAGAAGGAAGCCCAAGTAACGGACTGTGTCTGAAAAAGGAAGCGGTATAGAGTTAAAAAATATTGGCGGACAGGATTTACGTCGGAGTGTGAAAGTGATATGCTTACACTTTGATTCATTAACTTTAATACGCCAATCTTTGCACCACTGCTCAATTATGGAAAGGTGACTTTGTAGGTTTAGGGATGCCATTTCAGGTTCTGCGAGAGGAAGGGATTGCGGTATCATCAGCAAATGTTGCCAGGAAGGTATTGGGATTTGTAGGGATTTCAGCAGTGTAGAGGATGTAGAGAACTGGACCCATGACACTGCCTTGTGGAACATCAGCTTCTATTGGATAATGGTTGGAGAGTTCTTGAAAGGAACGGTTGGAAAGGTATAATCTGAGGATTAAATATAAGGATTGGGGTAAGTGGATTTTTAGTTTGAAAAGAAAGAAATCGTGCCACGCCCGGTTGAAAGCTTGCGCTACGTCCAGAAAGGCACCGGTGCAATATTGCTTGCTTTCAAGTGCAGAGGATATGTGATCAACAATGCGAAGGCCTTGTTGAACTGTGGAATGTCCTGAGCGAACAACTTGGAAAACAAATTTCTTGGGATTCGAGTGGGTAGGATTCGTTTGAGAAGGATTTTTTCAAATATTTTTGAAAGGATTGGGAGAAGGCTTATTGGTCTATAGGATGAAGTGTCATTGAGAGGCTTGCCTGGTTAAAGGAAAAGGATGATTATGGAGTGTTTTCATATCAGAGGAAAATGGATTGTACGAAGGATACAATTGTATAGGTAGGTAAGGGATATAATAGCCTTTTTAGGAAGTTGTCGAAGGATCTGGAAAGTGAGGAGACCAAATCCAGGGGATTTTCTGGGTTTCAGTTTATTTATCAGGAATTTGACCTCAGAGGGGTTAACAGATTTAGGAGATAAGCAGAGAGGAATCGGGGAAGAGAGGAATTCCTTAGCTTTGGCTGTGTGGGAGGGATTTTGTTCAGGATAGGGAATGACTGTTTTGGATAGTTATTTTGCAAATTCCTCTGCCCTGTTTTCATCTGACGAAGCCCAGGAGCCATCATCACGTCGGAAGGGTTGGGGAATGGTTTGATATTAAGATTTTTTTTGTAACATTCTAGAGAGAATTATCAGAAGTAGAGAGCGAGGAGAGGTGGGAATTGAAGGATTTGGACCTGAAGGTAGCCAGTTTATTTTTTAACAGTTTGGAAAGGTGGTTGTATAATTTCCGGTCGTCAGGATGCCTGGTTCTTTGCCAGTGGGTCCTTGAACATCGTTTGGCGTGAATGAGGTCTGCAAGGTCTTGAGTTAAGAATCTTTCTTGCGGTATTTCAGGGAAGGAAGAGGTGAGGAAGCAGTCCAAACTGCTTGTTGGATTGAGGTCGTGAAGGAATTTACGTCATCATCTAGGTCTTGGGGAGTTTTTAGG